GTAGAACGTAGAACAGATGTGTAGAACGTAGACGGTGCCAGCTGAGATCTACACGGTGTTGATCTCCACAGTCTGAGCCACAGAGCAGAGGCCGCTCTCCTCCTCCTGTAAGATCAGCAGCTCTCCTACAGCCGGCTGCCCGTGGACCACAATGCACTGCTCTGCGCCCTCTGATATCACCACCTCCATCAGCTCCCGCCCCGCCCCTGCAGGCAGGGAGTTCTCCGAGGCGAGGAGCAGAGGGGCGGAGCTTGGTGTGGACAGGTTGTCGGTGTGGACGTAGACGACGGCGTGCTGGATGTTACCTTCCTCATCTCCTTCTCTTGAAGTCTGGTCCTCTTGAACTCTCCTTCCTAACTGCCTCACCTCCTTTTCCTCCTCTCTTCCCTTTCTCCTCTTCACCTCCCCAGCCTCCGTCTCCCCCGCCTCTTGTGGGAGGGGGTTCTTCTTCGGCCGGCCTCTGATTGGCTTCGAGTGACTGGAGTTTGAAGTCCCATGGTTCCAGCTGCTGTCCGTCTCGTCCCTGTGTCCACCCTCCTCTCCCACGTCCTCCTGAGCTCCTCCCTCCGTCCTGTGCTGAGCCTGATGCCTCAGCAGACTCTGTCTCGCAGTGTATGAAGCTCCACAGTGGCAGCTGAACGGCTTCTCCAGCACGTGAGAGGACTTTATGTGTCTCCTCAGCTTGGTGGCCAACGTGTAACCTGAGAGAAAAACTACAGTTACCGAGATGAATAATACAGTTCCTCTTATTTCTAATCATGAGCTGGACAGAACATCTGCAGCTCAGAGGGACACAAACAAGAGTGAGATCTTTTCTAGTTCTTTAAAAGGACGAAGCTGAAAACGATCAATGATTTATCAGGGAACAGAGCCGCACGTTATCATCTCATTTCAGGAAGACGTGGAAATAAGAGATGAACGTGAACTACGTCTGACTAATGTTTGGAATGTGTGACAATCGCTGTCTGTCACAATGAGGATTGACAAATCGCGGTGCTAAAGGGAACTCTGCTGGTTTCACACGTCTGCAAATGTAAAAACAGACGTCAGCGTCTCCAGCAGGAGCCGAGAGACGTCTGATAAGTGTCCTCTGTCCCGTCCCACCGGCCCTAAGTTTAAAAAAGTATAAAACTCAGAGGCTGAGCAGTTAGACACGGGAGTTCACCAGACTACGTTAGAGGTTACCGGCAAAACACACCGGACCAGCCCCCGGTGGGTGAGTTGCATTGTGGGTAATGTGGAAAAAAATATATGGAATCAAAAAGAAAATGCTTAATCAGTGAAGTATCATTTTCACAAATTATATGTGGGTCTTACATCGTCAGTGTCTCTTTTCCAAGTGGACAAAAGACATCTTTGACCATGTGAGTTTTAAACTTCGTCTCCGTTAGAGCAGATAAAAGAAGCAGCTTTATGCTCCTGAAGCTGTGACAGAGATGTGCTGCAGAGGACCTGGACTTTTTGATCTGAGACTAAATGTGGCTGAATCTGCTCATAGAATTACTTAACAGAGAGATTAGAGGACTTTTAAATGTTAATATCCTGTTAGAACCTTTTGCACAGACAGGGCAGCGATGTGGTCTTTCTCCAGTGTGCAGTCGCTCGTGGGACTTCAGGCTGTGTGGATCCCTCAGTGATTTCCCACAGTAGCTGCAGAGGAAGCCTCCACCCGTGTGGCAAATCATGTGCCGGCGGAGCTCCGGTTTCTGGGAGAAACTCTGGTTACACTCGGCGCAGGGATACGGCTTCTCTCCGCTGTGAATTCTCAAGTGGCACTCCAGGTTTCCTGGGACGGAGGTAAGACGGTTAGTCAGCGACGCTGGTTGCGGTCGCAGCTGGAGTGAATCTGCATTTGTCCAATTATGTGTGAAGATTAGTTTCTCTCACTGGAATGATGCTGTCACAACAACATAAACCATATTATACTTTAAAAGTTATTTAAAATAACAAACGTTTAATTGTCCCTCGTTGAAAAGAAATGAGTGAAATTTAATCATCGATGTGACGAGAATTAAATTCTGGTTTCACACTTAAAACAATATCTGGATATTTTGATCAGTGGTGCAAGAAGTACTCTGATCATCTGCTGAAGTAAAAGAAGAAACATCACGCTGTAAAAAATACACCTGGGTTCAATATTTCACATAAAGATCCAGTGTGTAAGATTTAGGTGAAAAAGATCTACTGAAATCTAACGTAGAATAATCCTCACGAGGTTCTCACGAGTTTGTTTCATCTAAATTGTTTGAATTGGAGTTTTCTTTACCCCAGAAAAGACCCTTTATATTGAAATACTTTATATTTACATACATTATACTTACATCGAGGGGACCCTCTCTACGGAGGCCGCCATGTTTTTTACATTAGTCCAGA